TACTAAATTTCTGCGGTTTCGTGCGGTTTGCGCTTCAATTCAGACTTCAACAACAGTTTCCAGGACCTAAATTAGGTAAAGTTTACGAATTTTTTATTTTGGTTTTGTCAAAACGCTGTTCTCCTTTCTCCCTTTCTGTGGTTGATTTTGGGTTTTTTGGAGGGAAATTAGGGTTGAGAGTGAAAATGTATTGAGTGTGCTCGAATTGTTAAGGATCCTGACTTCGTCACTCCTCCCCCTGTATGCAGAAATTGAGATGTCTTCAGACGAGGCGAGGAGTGTAGTGGGAAGTGAGGTAGTGCCGTTGGAGTATGGTGGCATGGATTCGGAGACCAGTCCGTCTCCAACTAGCTCGGAGAGGACGGTGGGGGATAGAATGGAACAAACAGTAATAGAAGAGGAGGAGGATGAGATCCCCTCAAACATTTTGGAGGCCAGGAATGGCGTAGATGGGTGTTATGACCCAGATTTAGAGGTAGTGGCCGAGGTGAGGGGATATGTGAGTGAGCTGGGTAGCAGGGATAGTCTAAGGGCCCTTGTGGGTAATTGCAACCTTCCTCATAATGTCCTACTTAGACCTGCTGGGGTGAATGAGAGGGCCTGCTTAGCACCCCACGATCATTGGATGCCCATATACCTGCATTATTTGATTGCAGGGCTTAGGTTTCCCATTCCAGAATTACTGGTTGGGTTATTATTAGATTATAGTATAGGAATAACCCAACTAACTCCAAATGCCATGAGGGTAGTAATAGGTTTTCTTGTATACTGCAGAGTTCGGGGGGTTGGGGTTCCAACCGTAAATATGTTCAAACATTTTTTTATAATTAAGGCTGGGGGTAGGGGGGAGAGAGGGTGGTACCACTTCAGTCCTCGGTCGTCCAGCAAAGGGAATAAGAATTTATTCTCTCTTGGGCCGTCATCCATTAAAGGGTGGAAAGAAAATTTCTTCTTTGTGGATGACACCGAGTGGAGTAGGAGGGATGCCGAAGTGGAACAGTTGTTTGCTTGGAAAGCGAAGAAAACCAAGCAGAACAACTATAAATTAAATGAGGATGAGGTGGAAGAGGTGGAGAAGCTGGTGAGGGAGGACGGAGACGTGGTGGACATCCTACACCTCACCAGTGCGTAGGCAATAGAGGCTGCTGAGCTCTATGGGCCAAGCTCATTGAGCGAAGGTCTGTGTATGTTTACATTGTGCTATGTTAGTTAGATCTTGCTTTATGCGTTTTGACCTTTGTGCTTGTTTTGCAGCTGAAATGGAGGAGTTTACCACTGCTGCTGGAGGCTTGCGCATCCCTAAAAAGCAAAGGAAGAAGTCAAAGACTTCAACTGCGGCGGAGAAGGAGGTGACATGGGGGGGCGACTGTCCAGCGTCTCTGCCCCGGCTGTGGAGGTGCAGCCAAGGCCTGAGCCTGCAATGGGGGGTAGTGAAGAGGTGAGTGAGGAGATGGCACCTCTCCAGAGGAAGAAGAGGAGGGTGGCAGAGCTGGGAACCGAGGTGGTGGAGTTCGTGTCCCAGCCTTCTCCAGAAATTAATCCTGAAGACGGGGGGAGAGGAGAGGTCGAAGTGCGAGGCTTTGATGGGGGCAGGGAGCGCACCCCTCCGCACATATACCAGAAAAGTTTGTTTGAGGCGGAAAACAAGACTGGGGCGAAGCACTTCCTCAACGCTACCCTTCCTGAGGTGGATAGGATGCGGGCGAAGGACGAGGTGGTTAGCCACGCAGGGTATACCATTGTGAGGCATGCCTTGGAGGTATGTGAAATAATTAGATTTTACTCCGGTTGTATGTTTTGAGTTGTTTGTCCTGTGCCTAGTGTCTGACTTCTGATTGCATTGTAGAGTGCGAGCTGGACAAACGCTCTAGCGCAAGAGTATGCAGAGAGCGTTAGAGATCGTGCCAGCTTGCAAAGGCAGTGCGACCAG